TCTCCCCCTCTACTCCACTCTCATGAGACCCCACCTGGAGTACTGGGAGCTTACTTCAAAGTTATTGAAGTTATGGCCTCTCCTTTCTCTTTTAAGGAGGAAGAGCTGGTGGGGGGATGGGTTGAAGACAGGAGGAGAGACAAGGTGAGCAAGATCTGGAGACAGGACTGAACTTACTCAGGTAGAAAGTGAGTGAAGGAGGAAAACAGCAGAGAAGCTTGATATCAGAGGCAGAAGGTGGGAAAAGAAGGACTATTGTCAGTGGAGGGAAGACAAAGAGAAAGAAAAAAGACATTTATGACCCTGTCCAGGGTGCATGATAGGTTGTGTTGGTTTTAAATCCACATTTATCTTTTTCAGTAGCATTGGTTACTGTAATTGGTCACTCTTCATTCTCCTCTTTCGTAAGGAGTACGGTGAGTAACATGTGCGGATCTTATGATGCTGTTTTTCTAGGTCAGGGACCAGATGAGAAAGTCTGTACCTTTCCCAGCTTGTCAATTTCTGTGTGAGTTAGGTCAGTAGTGTTAAAAATAAGGGCCTGTAGTGTTAAAAATAAGGGCCTGAAAACCCTTTATGGTGACTGTCGTTACTGGTATCCATCCTTGGCATTCTCAGCAGAGAGGCCCAAGACTCACAGGAATGGTGGGTAAATGATGCCCTTGCTCTTAGCAGTGGAACCTTCGGGTCAGGATGGACATTTGCTGATGAAGTCGTGTGGGAGAGGTGGATTACCCTCTCCAGCAGGTAAATGTGGGGCTTCATGTTTATGTGCTGTGAAGACAGAACCTTTCATTAACACAAAAACCAGGTTTTGTGGTTTATTTAGTTTTTAAATTGTAGGTCTAATCTACGCTGCTCTTGTATTCAGTGTAATTTTTTTATGCATTTATGAAACAAATTTTTATAAATAAAGCTTTTTATGCTCCCATTTGCTCTCTTCCTTGGTACTTAGTATTATTTGTTGCAAAAATTCTGCAAGAGCATCTCCCTGCCCACCATGTGCCTCTGTAAGTGTGACCAGGGAGATCACTGATGCTAGACACCATTGACTTTTAAAGGAAATGGCTGGAGGCAGGACACTATCCATAAAGGATCCTCAGTTCTGGAAACAGCCTCCTCTCTTTACAGCCCAGATTTACGGACTTAGTACCAGACTCATTTGTTCTGGCAGGCTTTTGTGGTGGATAAAGGCAATGATGGATAGCGAGGACTAAGGAGAGGCTTTGTTTGTTAGCGTGAGGCTTTGGTCAACAATGATTTATAGATTGCAAGTCAAATTATCTTCTTATTAATGGGATTGTAAAACATAACTGGGAACTTCACTCTGGGGAAGCAAACTCATTAGGGTGCAGGAGGAAGAGGTACAGGAAAACTTTTCCTGGGTTATGTATTTTGCATACATTTAATTTGAGTGCTTGGGGGGATAAAGAAAGGCCTTTTTGTGTTTGTTTGTTTTGATGGTTTTGCAAGTATAAATAAATCATTGAAGTGCAGATTCCAGACACTTTTGCACTAACCAGTTTTCCCAGAGATGCCTCTTTTATCTGTTCCACTGGGAACAGAGCAGGTTGATGATCTCCATGACTACATTGTTGTCAGCACATCACAGCTGGTGGCTCAGTATCACATCACAGGCTGCAAGCACACAAGTCTTTATTGTTGAATGTGTAGAGCCACTGGAGTGGTGCGTTCATCCTATTGAACTGACTTCAGTGTCTTACTGGCTAAACAGGAAGACATTAATATGCTAACTAGGCTTTTTGGCAAGGGAAAATTAAGATAAATGTTGTAGGTTTTCTTAGATATTGCAGTGCATCAGGATTTCTGTTGTACTTGGTGTATTTGTATCTAAAGGTGAATAAAAGGCTACACCAGTGTCTCAACCAGTAAGCAGGATGAAAAGGCTTTTCTTTTAGTAGCTTTGAAAGAGAACAGATGTTGAGCT